CCCCCAAACCCCAAAACCCCAAAACCCCGTCAAATTATATTTTAGAAGATTATTGAATATTTATAATATCTATATTATTATATTATATTATTAATATATCCAAGCAATAAATATATATTTAAGCAAATTAAATTATGAATCTATAAATTATAATTAAAGATCATAAATTGAAAATGAAAACCTCTCTTACAGTTGTTGCAGCTCTCTTTGCTTCACTCATCTCCCTCTCCACCTAGTCATCAATCAACTACAGAATGCCAAATGAATTCTCTCTTATGGCTTTCATCCATGAAGTTGATTCAAATGGTGCATTGAACATCTTGGTTGATAACTAACCTATTTTCACATTGAAAATGAGTGCAAAGTTGAACATGCAATACACAGCTTCTGGAGTAATGATTAATTAAAAACTGCACAATAACATAGTCAACGTTGATAACAAAAACACCATGAAGGGCACAGAATACAGAAGCGACGGAGATGCTTGCTATAGAGATTTCACTCTTGATTCAACTATTGAGGACTCTACCCTATCTATTCAGGATATGATTAATCAAATCAACAATCCATCAACTAAGCAAGGAATCGTTGACCTCGGCTCTAAAAACCCATCATGGAACAAAGTTGGAAAGTTCCAAGTTTTCGGATTCTTTGAGGACAATAAGCTAGCTAGAGAAGTCTACTATCAAGTTGATACAGGTCTACCCAGATACTCAGTAAGCTACCAAAGTTCTCCTACCATTGTTATCGATTACGGCATCACCATTGAAACTAACAATAATCTCGCTTCAACTGACTTCGTTGTTCTCGAATGCCAAAAGTCATCCTCATTAGCTGCCAAGTTCCTTCACTGAGCCAAGGGTAGCAGATGGTAGGATCTTAAGAATGAATAGGTGAAAGCTTATTCGTTTTTATATCACACTTGAATGAATATTAATATTAAGATATATTGGTTTAGCTATAATATTTCAAGTTCAATTATCTGAGTATAGACTTTCATTTAAGGGGTTTTGGGGTTTTGGGGTTTTGGGG